ACTTTTCTGGTTCTTTCTCAAAATAGACTCAGTTAGCTGCTTCTGGTTCTACTATATGCGGGTCAGTTAGTAGGGTTGTCTCAAACATCTCGAAGGCCGCGGTTACGATGTTGATGTTAGTTTGTATGTGTTGCCGTCATAGTACTTCTGCAACTAAAATATAATATTTATATTATCGGGCGACTCTCAAAAAATAGATTCAGAGAGTTTCAAAGGTGTAGTAGTGATCACTGTTTTACAAATAGCTTTGGTAAGCTTTCGAGTTCACCGGCGGTGACCCCACATTTCTTCATAAGTACGGAAATAGATATCGTTTTCAGCTTCGCTTTTCTTCTTCACCATCGTAACCATTTTTTCAGCATTGATTCGTCGTGACCATCGAATTATAAACCATAACAGAGTTGGTGATACTATGGTGTAGTAAGGGAATAACTGAAAAAGTGTTTTTTACCGATGAGCACTAAATTTCATGAGACACATTGGTTGGAAAGGGAAAGTTTCGAGAGAAAGCGAGAGTGAAATAGGTGAGTGACAGAGATCCCCAGTCAGTTGGCGGGGGAAAAAGATCTTTTCGTTTAGAGCGATCAGAACGCAGTCCTTAAACCCAGGCCTTTTTTGCACAACATAATGAAATTGTCACTTACGTTCATGGAAGTCAACAAAATTCGGAAACTGACAGCTGTAAGCTGATCCTTGAAAATCATTATTATAAATCCGCCTGTTGTAGCAAATCCAGAAACTGTCGCTTGAAAAATATCCAACGGCAAGAGTAATCGTAAAACGCTATCGTTCTCGCGTAGCTGATACGAAGTTACAAGATCGAAGCATTTTCTGAATTTTATTGTTGAGCAAATAGCATACAGCGAGAGTATTTAACAATCGAATACAAATACGAATACGAAAGTGAATTGTGGATTGTGGTGCTATAAATAGCCGACGTAAAAGGCCGAATATAGAGATTGGCCGATCTCAGTTGTATTGAAACTGCCAGGGTGTACGACAGATTACAGATTTTTTACATTGACCTATGCTTATGTGAAGTTCTGACTGGCCGTAGGATTTACCCGAGTGCTAGAGTAATTCACGTATTGTCGGATAGAAGGACTCACACTTAATGCACTGATCAATCCCGACTGAGGGATCTAATCAGGTTCGTAGTGGCATATTGAATGCGTATGCGACCTATACAATGTTTTGCGGAGGCCAGTCGACGAACAAGTCAGTGGTTTTATGCTCCCAGACCAGAATCTGGCACCAATAAACC